TCTTCTGCTCACCAAGCCTGCATTGATTTGATGCAAAATACAGTAAAAACAGTAATTTTATGAAATATTATTACAGTTTAAAATAATAATATAATAAAATATTGTTTATTTCTGTGATCAAAGCTGAAAACCATAGTTTCTCCAGTGTTCATCATGATCCTTTAGATCTGAAATATAAAACTTTTTGTAGCATTATACACTACCATTTAAAAGCTTTTTATTTTTTAAAAAAATGTTGGGAAATAAATTAATACTTTTATTCAGTATGGTCGCATTAAATTGATCAAAAGTGACAGTAAAGAAGTTTATAATGTAACAAAAGATTCTATTTCAAATAGAAACTGTTGTTTTGAACTTTCTATTGCTAAAAAATCCTGAAAAATAAAATAAATGTTTATTACATAAATGTTTGTTGATCATCAGACGGATCATGTGACACTGAAGACTGGAGTAATGATGCTGAAAATTTGTGAAAATTCTGCTGCCCTCTAAATCCAAACCTTTAGTAAGTAATTTAAAATAATAATTATATATATAGCCTAATATAATTATTTTTCAAGTGGTTTTAATAAATAGTATACATTTATGCATATTATATAAATATATGCTATTTATATCCCAAACACCCCCCCCCCCCCCCCCCAGGAAAAAAATTGGGGACCCCCCATAAGACTTGACTCAATTCGAGCACTGCGTGATTGAGCATTCATCAAGAGAGCCACCACTCTGGATTTGCTCTGGAGAGCAGAACAGTGACGTGGGGATCATCGTCGTCGTATGTGTCCACTAGACCCTTCGGAGGCGAACCGTTTGGCGAGTTTCACCATTTGCGCCTGGATGACGTCCGCTGTCAGCAGTACTTCCGGCTGTCCCGTGCCCAGTTTGATGACCTGTTGTCCCGCATCAGAGCAAGCGGGACAACAGGTCATCGTTTCGTTGGCCTGTGTGAGGAGTTCTGTTGGCGTGTGCGAGCGAGGATCACCCTTGCCCTCATCTACCTATTCTGTCATTTATTTTTGTTTTGATGATAAAGAGAGCGAGCCTCCAAAAGTTATTAACCTGTCCTGTGATTTTTCTCTCTCACATCCAGACACGATATTATGCACGTGTATGTTGTTGGTTGTTTGTACATTATAATAATATTTCATATAATCTAGATATGGAATAAATAACATTTAATACAAAATGAACATGTCTCGTACAAAGTATATTGAAATAAAGTTTTAACTGATAAAATATTTGCTTTTTTGTGCATTAGAACCACACCAGGCATTTAGTCATATTAGAAAATAATTTATTGAAGCATCAAGTTACTTCAGCACGTGAGCAAGTAGCTAGGCTCCTGATTGGTTAACACGGGTTGAATTGACACCAAAGTTCAGATTTTTCAACTAAGGCACCAGCTGGTGCTCGAAAAATTAAGTTGACCCGGAGTCAGGTATCGGTGGTACTCTCCTTCCTGCAGGAGCTGCTGGATGCGGGCCACATTTTGAGCCGCTCCAGTCGGTTGATGTAAAACCACTCTCGCTAAAGACTGCTCTCCTGTTGGCATTGGCATCTATCAAGCAAGTAGGAGATCTGCAGGCTCTATCAGTGAGCCCTGCATGTTCGGAGTTTGGAACAGATGACTCCAGAGTCATTCTCAAACCTATGCATGGTTATATACCCAAGGTGCTCTCAATTCCATTTAGAGCACAAGTTATTATATTGTTAGCCCTTCCCCCTTCAGCAGAGGATGGGAAGGCTAATCTTCTCTGCCCGGTTAGGGCGCTAAGAATCTATATAGACCGTTCTGCGTCTTTTAGACAGATTGAACAGCTATTAGTCTGCTTTGTTGGCCAATCCAAGGGTGATCCAGTCACTAAGGAAAGACAGTCTAGATGGATAGTGGATGCCATTTCTTTGGCTTATGCTTCAGTGGGTCAGGTTTGCCCCATGGTTTCAATGCCCATTCGACTAGAGGCATGGCCTAGTCATTAGTCGACTAGGCTTAGTGATCTGGGTTTCCCATTTAAGATATTTGTGATATATTTATATTAAGATATTTAAGATACTGTATATCACTTCCTCACTTCCAAATTTTAAATATTATGGATGGGCAATACAGGCTAGGATTCTCCTAGATTGGATACACAAACCTAAAGATGCCCTGTGGGTAGATAAGACAAAAACAGTTTTGTAACCCAGTTTCTCTGATTAATTTATTAGACCAGAAAACCCAAATCCCTGACAAGGTAAAAGAAAACCCACTCATCATCAGAGTTGTCAAAATATGGTCACAGATCAGAAGGTCTCTCAAGTATAATCAGAGTTTACCTATACTATCCACACTGACGGGTAATAGAAATTTTCACCACACCAATATGGGCTCTCAATTTGGTAGCTGGACTCATTTGGGAATATACAGGATATATGATCTATTCCATAAGGGTGTTTTTATGTCATTCGATGAGTTACATTTAAAGCATAATATCCCAAAAAAGGACTTCTTTAAATACTTACAGATAAGACATTTTGTCCAGACCAGGCACACCAGTCTTACCCTGAATAGCTCTGATTTCTTTTTGGATAGATTTTTTTTCTTAGGGATACTGAAGTCAAACACTTCATATCCAAATTTTACTGTATGATAAGCCATCACAAAACAGACAACCTGATTTTGTTGCAGAGGGCTTGGAGTAAGAGCCTGAAATTTAACATTGACAAAAATGTCTGGGAAGATATTGTTAAGTTGCCATTAAATGTCTCTGTCTGCAACAGATTTAAAGAGATGCAATTTAATATAGTACATATCTCAAAATAAATATAGCTAAATAAATAAAACTGTATCTCCCCAATGTCCTAAATGCAACAACAATATTGGAACATTCTTTCACTCTCTCTGGGAATGCTCATTGGTTGTTAAATTTTGGAATGATATTTGTGATAAATTATCGTTAATATGTAAACAGAAGGTTACTGCCTCCCCACTCATGTGCTTGCTGGGTATATTGCCCCCCTCATTTCTGGAATATGCGGATGTCTTTAGAACCTTACTAATGTTGGGGCGGAAATCAATTATGAATAAATGGGTTGGCACTGACCCACCCCTTATTAAGGACTGGATAATCCTGATTAAAGAGACTATACTTGTGGAGAAGATTGGATGTATGATAAAAGGTAAATCTGAATCATTTCAGAAGTTGTGGAAAACGCCGTTGAACTGTATTGGCATTGAATATAAGTCTATCATGTATCCTTAAAAGCTTACATGAGGATATTGTAACTCGGTATTTGACTACGCTGCCCTTGTTTTTTTTTTTTTTTTTTTTTTAAATGATTAATGCCAATGCTCCATGTATGCTGTTTACTCTAAAAAAAAAACTAATAATAAAAAAAAAATAAATAAAAATAAAAATATTTGTGATGCGGCCGGCTGGTCCTCACCTTCCACATACGAAATTCTATAATATGGAGGTTCCTTCCCTGCATATATTATTCAGGCCTGACAGTGTCTGGTATGTTATATATATGGTTATATATGTATATATATTAGTGGGTTCTGGCTTGTTCTGTCAGCTCAGGGGCTGCGTTGCAGGGTGCAGCATTTTGCATGGTATCCCCGCTGCGTATAGCTATGCAATACTAAGTCACTGTTCGAAAGGGAACTAATCAGTTACTATCATAACCTCAGATCCCTGAGAGAGGGAATGAGTATTGCGTACTATATGAGACCTGTGTCACATTTTTACATACAACCCAGTTACATTCATTCATTCATTCATTTTCAGGTCCTCTTTTGTACTTTATTTATGGAAAGTGTTCTTCTTCTATACAACACACTGTAAAGTAAGGCGATCATTTCTGAATTTTATGGTGTGCTTTAGATTTCTCAGGTATAGGCCAAGTCTTTCATGCAACAGATATGTACACATTAGTGCTGTCTGATGGTTGTAGTTGTGTTTTCACAGTGTGACTGATGTGAGGTGCTGATTGAGCAGACATGTGGGACTGGAATGTGTGGTATGCCTCCTAATGAGAGATTCAGAGAACTTTCTATACACCAGTCTGCCAACAAATTGTTAGTTAGAAAGAACAGAACACAGTTCTGCAGTTTCTTGAAAACTTTTTTACAGCTTGTTCATTTACATTCCATAGTTTACTTCATTGTCCAGGTCCGGGTCCGTCATTACGATTAGGAGTTAGGATTTTAAAATAAATTTGCATTAAATATATTTAATTACTGTAAGTGGAAAAGATCGTAGATGATTATTCCCTTAAACTGTGTGCACTGTGTAAATCCTGCTCATCATAGTTTTAAAATAGTTATTCTCAGTGCATTTTACATGCAGTCCTAATTGTCAGATAATGTTAATTTAGGGATTAAATTCATCTTCACATTTGCAGTTCCATTATGGTCAGAGTCCACTTGTTTTATGCAGTGAAGTGCTATTGCCTAGTTTTTGTGAAATATGTTCTATTGCCACCAACTGTAGGAATTTTACAACAGCCACATTTCGATGAATTCTTTCGGTGATAGTTCCTTGTTGTCACACAAATGTTCATCTGAGCATGCAGTAATGTGCACACTGAACATTAATGTTTTGCGAGAGTTTAAATTTGTTTCTCATCTTATATTTTTACCTAAAACATCTTTCTTCTTTTATTCTAGTGGCATGCTGTGAAAAATAACAAAAGGGAAATTTGTATATATTAAGGGGGATTGAGAAGGACATGTCAAAACATTATTAAATGCCTCTCCTTAGCCAATGCAACCCAGTCTTACATGAACTGGCAGGTATACCTGCCTTGTTATAATAGCTGGTACCTGCCTTGTGCAGCTCTTAGTAATGCAGTAATAACGAATCCACCAGCTTGACAAGGCTGCCACATGTCTGTCTTCATTGATAAACTAGTTCTAAACTGTTACCGGACTAACTGGTAATTGAAGGCTGCGCCCTAGTTTGTGTCCAATCAGAGACAATCTGCCATGGAATGAATAAAACAGCAATGCGTAAACAAGAACGGGAAAGTCCTCCGCCCCCTTCCCCATAACATCTCAAATGAAAGCAGTTCCGTATTCCGTGCCGCTATTACAACCATCACTTTCAATAGCCCAAATTCGGTCAAGCCTGTTTGTAAAAATCATTGCGCATCATCGACATGGACCCATCATAGAAGGTAAGAGATGGTCTGTCTGACTGCAGCTGCTTGTCGTTTTCACGCTCTCTCTTCATCGTAAAGTTTCGGGTGGGATGGGAATGCGGTCTCGTGTCATATATCAAGTTCGTCAGCACGTCTGTGTCTCTGTAGGATACTAGTTGTCAGGGTAGAGTTGGTTATTTTGTGCGCACTAGTAACCGATAATAAATACGTTCGGCTCTCGCTTGCGGAAAGTGACACTTGTACAAATGGCAGCAAGTTAAAACGAGTGCAGCACTGATCGTTCATTATTCGTTATCGACGTAACGCAGCGCAGGCTTTTTACAGGAAGATGACGCAGAGAATGACACTGACGGTGGCCATGTGAGGATAAACCGACTAGTTGTTGACAGTAGACTTTAACAAACAGTTACTGTCGTGAAGATGTCATGAGAAGTGACGTAGCTCATGAGGATTAACTGGGGATTCATTTTGGTGTAGCCTATAAAGGCTATATTGCAAACCCGTTTTGAATCTATTTGTCAACTTATGTATGATCCCAACATATGGGGCGTCAAACGAATAGGACAAAATACGTTCACAGGCCCACATTTTGCGTCCGTTGATGGCTATTATTACAAAATAACACGTTATACACGACTTTCTGTAAGAATAAACGCCGTTAGACTTGTTTTTAATGAATTTTTGAAGCCCCTATACTTTGAGTTTAACCCGGTGGTTTCGTTTTGAGGCAGTAGGCGGGGCTTTATTCGCATACGTGATGATGCACCTGTAGACTGCTCGAACAAATGTAAGCCATTCAGTTTCTCAAGTAATAAAGGTTGCACTCAGAATTATTGATGATATTTAAATAATCATATATTAACTTTATATTGCGGTTTTACCACACAATATAGATAGCCCTACTCTTACAACTTAATGAAGACAATCCAGAGAGGTGGTATGGACTTGAACAAACACAATGAGTAGAGTAGAAAAAATAAATGTCCAAGCAGCTCTCACACTACCGATCAAGGATGAACCATATGAAAATATAGAAGTGAATTGGGGAATGTCCAATGTGTTGTAGCCTAGGAGTAGTAGTAGTTTAGTGTAAGACAGAAAAAAATAGATGGAAAGCTGTGTGCTGTTAGTACATAATTCAGTAGTCCAGTAGGTGTCAGTACAAAATCCAAAACCACTGGTACTTTTGGCATAAGAGTGAGCGTAAATCAATCCACCCTTAATCAAATACTTTCCCACTACATACAAAACATAGTAAAAAAAAAAAAAAAAATAGTATGTGAAAAGAGTAGTATTTCAGAATTCACATAAAACAGTAAGTGAAAAGTACCTTGGATGACTTCCTACTTCCAGATTCTGAATTGTGCATAGGCTATAATGGACACTTACTATCCCATGATGACTTCCTATACTTTCAGATTCTGAATTGTGCATATAATGGACACTTACTATCCCATGAGGCCACAGAAGAGGTTTTGTGACTGGCAGTGAAGTGATGCAACAGACCACTGATTTATATAGACCATTTTACTGCCCACGTGTTCAAATAGTTGCACGCGCATTTTGGCAATGGAAGTGTTGTTTCCCCACTGGCACTATTGTATTCCCAGATAGAAAACTGACATTGAATCAACATGGAAATATGACATAGAAACAACGTTGATCTGACATTGTTTTGCTCATCGAATTAACGTTGAACCAACGTCAGACGCGTCATTCTTTCAAAACTAACGGAAAATCAACTTGAAATCAACGCGTTGTTTCAACGTTATGAAAGCAAACCAATTTTCGATTTTCATTTATAAGAATGCCGCGTCTGACGTTGGTTCAACATTAATTCGATGAGCAAAATCAACGTTGTTTCAATGTCATGAGAGACGTCGTTTCCACGTTGATTCAATGTCAGTTTGCTGTCTGGGTTAGCAACTTTGAAAGTTTATCAAAGCGGTTTCCCAGCATCAAAATGTCTGGTTGTTGTGTTTACGGTTGCACTAATCGATATTCACCAAGGTTTTATAGGATTCCGACAGGATCACAATGGTTCAAGAGGAACCGGCGGCGCCTGTGGCTGCAAGCGATTAAACGTGTTGATTGGAGCGAGGACATAGTAAAAAAACATTCACATTCGTGTCTACATTCACAGTGCTTTTCAACTTCATTTGTAATTGTTATTAGTAGTTTAATTGCAATGTATGCAAGCAACATAGTTACTATTAAAGTACTATCCCAGATAGCAAACTGACATTGAATCAACGTGGAAACATGACATCGAAACAACGTTGATCCAACATTGTTTTGCTCATCGAATTAACGTTGGACCAACGTCAGATGCGTCATTCTTTCAAAACTAACGGAAAATCAACTACGTTGTTTCAACGTTATGAAAGCAAACCAATTTTCGATTTTCATTTAGCTTTGAAGAATGCCGCGTCTGACGTTGGTTCAACGTTAATTCGATGAGCAAAACAATGCTAGATCAACTTTGTTGATTCAATGTCAGTTTGCTGTCTGGGATAGCATTAACTTTAAACAAAAATGCGTCAACACAGCAATCAATAACAACATAAAATGTAAGGACAAGGATAAATGTAGGTCTGGGTGAAGAATAAGAATAAATGTAGGAAAGAATGATGGAAAAGAATGAATGTAGGGAAAAATTAAGGAAAACAAATGTAACGTTAGGTCTGGGTGGTTGATTATAAGCCTCATACATCGTTGTCTTGTGTCCTTGTCTTTGACTAACACGAATTTCTGATTTCAACACACAAAAGTCTGAGTCTATGCCATGGTATTTGGCATTCTGTACATGACCACAGATAACATATTCATAAGTATCCAGTGATTTATATGCTCGTAATTTTTCTATCGGGTGTACACGCTCGGTTTCTCAACTAAATACGCATATATATCTCGCCAATTTATATTTGGCCATCTGATAACGTCTTCTATCCACTCCACTATAGAACACGGATCTGGTAGCCGGATAACATTTGATAAAGTTAGCTTTTTGAAATAACTTTCTCTGTCTGTTGCTTGATCCACTCGCGTAGCTTGACACACTGCTGATTCTCGCCATACTTCCGTTGCCAATATGCGCGCGCATGCGTTGCCACGTCATCATTGTGTACAAACAGTAAAAGGGTCTATAATGACATGTCATTCTATATAGATCAGTGCAACAGATGCTGTTAGATCACATGACTATAAAAATGACAACAGGATGAATGTTGGCTAGTTTATCCAGATTACATTTATAGGCCTACTATGCTAATTCATATACTTTACACAGTTGCAAAATAAGGGCTTTTCAAAAGAAGTTCCTCCTACTCAGAGAGTTTGCAATTTTTGGATTCAGCCTTACTGAATTAACCTTTAACAAACTAAAAAGTTTCACATAAAGATATAATGTTCCAAAGCAATAAAAGTAAAAAAAAAAAAAAAAATTTTTTTTTCAAAAAGAGATATCACAAGTCTAATTGTTGAATCCGCATCCACAGGTCTGTCTAAAAGGTATGTTTAATTACCTTTGATGTCATGAAGGACGAGAAGGCCAGGGGCCCTTCAGCAGTTGAGCCACGGAGTGGTTAATCTGTTCTCCCTTCATTCCCACTTTGGTAACTTGACAATGACATCACATAGAAATCACCTGGTGAAGGACTTCAACCATTTCATCACCTGTTATGTCTGTAAAGGGTACCTGATCAAGCCAACTACTGTGACAGAGTGCCTGCACACCTGTGAGTACCTACAGTCTTTAGCCCTATTCACAATGGATAAGTATAATATATGGACCTCGTGTGATTTAGACATTACCCACCCACATCTGAATTTCGTGTGACGCATTCGCATGGAATAAGTGAATTCTGTGCTTTCACTCAAATTTACTGACTTCTCCTGGATATGATGTCAATAGGCTATTGCTTGGAAATGTCTTGTCATTATAGGTCTAGTCTAGATATTTGATATATCATAAACAGAAGAATGTTCTTTACCGCATGCTGCTACATGTCATCCATCACCATCTACTCATTATTTTTGTTTTTGCTCTTCTGATGGTTTTCAACTTTCTCTTTCTGCAAATTGTATAGTTGTATGGTGTAGGTATAGCGATATGACCCAGCACCCAAAATACTATCAAAACACTCCCAACACAGCCTCCATTCTTCATGAAAGATGGATAAAAAGATGCACAGGAATCAAAAACCTTGAAAAAAATTATATATATGTTAATAATAATAATCCATATAAACCTCCCTCATCCACATCATGAAGTGGAACGCATTTCAAAATCTTGGCATTGATTCCCCCAAGGGAAAGTGCTTAGGGACGTTCACAAGTGCGTGTCTGAAAGTTGAGTGGAACGCAGCCCTTGTTTGCTTCTTAAGAGATTGTTCAGTCTCAGATGTTCCTTGTGTGTATATACTGTGCGCACAACCATTTCTAGGGTTTACAAAGGATGATGTGAAAAGGGAAATACACCCAGTATGCGGCAGTCCTGTGGGTGAAAATGCCTTGTTGATACTTGAGGTCAGAGGAGAATGGGCCGACTGATTCAAGCTGATAGAAGAGCAATTTTGACTGAAATAACCACTTGTTACAACTGAGGTATTTAGCAAAGCATTTGTGAAGCCACAACACGCACAACCTTGAGGCGGATCCTTTAAATGTCCAACACGCACAACCTTGGGCATCGTTTAAATGTCATTTTGTGACCATGTCCATCTCTTAATTTGCCACCATGTACCCATCCTCTGATGGCTACTTAAAGGCAGGATATGTCACAAAACTTGAATCATTTCTAATTGGTTTCTTGAACATGACCATGAGTTCACTGTACTAAAATGGCCCCCACAATCACCAGATCTCAACCCAATAGAGTATCTTTGGGATGTGATGGAACGGGAGCTTCATGCCCTGGATGTGCATCCCACAAATCTCCATCAACTGCAAGATGCTATCCTATCAATGTGGGCCAACATTTCTAAAGAATGTTTTCAGCACCTTGTTGAATCAATGCCACATAGAATTAAGGCAGTTCTGAAGGCGAAAGGGGGTCCAACACAGTATTAGTATGGTGTTCCTAATAATCCTTTAGGTGAGTGTGTATATATATATATATATATATATATACCTCTGTGTTTCAGCGCTTTTTGAATCATGTTTCATGTTCCTGGTTTTGATTTAGGCTTCATTTTGTGTTATCTTTTGTTTTATTAAATTTCTGCTTACATTTGGATCCAGTCTCTCCTCTTCCTTGCATTGCCCAAGTCAAGCACACTAGATGTGAATATTCCCACTCTTTCAAAATACATGACCATCAGTCATCTGTTAATCAGTCACCATGACCACCATTTTTCTTCTCAATGCATATGCTATTTTTACTCATAATATTTTCATTATATAATATTCTTGATTGTGTCAGTTTCTGATTTCAGCTTTATTTATTTTTTGGCTTTTATGTAATGTTCATTAATGCCATAACAAGAATCCGATATTTTGAACGCACTATGCATTTTTTTAGACTATGCACTATATTTTAGCCCATACCCAACCAATAATTCCACACAGTGATGACCTGAGTGTGTCTTGTATCAATATCAGTGTGGGGGGTGTCTATCCCCCAGTGACTATCATATAAGGTTTGTTCGTTGCTGGTAGAATGCGATAGGTGTTTCTGGTCGCACTTTATCACATGCATAAAAAAGTTAGGTATATGTACTTATGTACAACATGCAGAATTTCAATTGTGAAATGTAAAATGGGATGCAAGAGATTGTGGGATAAAATCGTAGAAACCACAAATACCACCATGGAAGACATTGAGCGTGTTTAGAGCCCATCCTTATGTTCAAAGCTGCTTTAATTTTCTTTTGACTTGTTTTAAATGTTCATTAAACAGGTAACATTATTTGTGCATTCAGTTTTTTAAGAATAATTTCCTCTGTTTTCTTGTTTTTGAATAGTTTGCAAAAGCTGTATAGTCCAGCATTTTGAGGACAGCAATGATTGCCCAAAATGTGGTATCCAGGTTCATGAAACGAATCCCTTGGAGATGTTAAGGTAAACAACACTGATCCATACTACTAAGACAAAACCTCTTCAGAAAAAAAAAAATCTGTTTCAAGTGGTCTGTATATTGTAGATCAAGCCACAATACAAACCATAAGGTTTAATCTACTTGATTTCGCATCCTGGTTGGGAGGCACTCCAGGCAACAGCCAGGCCTCTCCACTCCAACACCAGACAGAATGATAACATGATAACAAGATATAGAGCAGTATTAGCCTGAACTTGTTAACAGATGGGACAGGGAAAATATGACTGTCATCATGTGTTCTGGTAGCTCACATTTCTTTTCTCCAAAGGCTGGACAACACTCTTGAAGAAGTGATATTCAAACTTGTGCCTGGTCTTAGAGAAAGTATGTATTTTACTGAGCCATTTCAAGTAACTTTTGTGTTATATATAGATATCAAATAAAATAAAAATAATTAAATAAATAAATAATTATATATATATAAACATATACCAAATTTCAACTGGCATTTATTTAACCTTTTCCCTGCCTCTCATTTTCCTTCCAGAGGAACACCAGCAAGAGATTGAATTTTGGAGAAGAAACAAATCGAAAGAAAATTCGAATGGTAAAATGACTCACAATTTTTCTGCACTCACCTGATAGCCCCGTTACCACATAGCTTCTCTATTTTTAATGATAAACATGACACAATATAACATTGCGACTACGTGAAAAGACTGTTTACTGTTATAAAAAAAAACTGATTTGTGAGCTTTACTGTACTTCACACCGCCGCTGACTTGAGCGTCAAAGAAGCTCTGGCCTCTCTGTCAAGGACACTTGTCAAAAGAAGCTCGTTGACGCTCGTGGACGCTCTGACACTGCAGGGAGAAGAGAACTGTCACAACATGAAATGTAATAAACCGAAAAAAAACAAGCAATACATTGAAGAAAACTTTTATAATGACAGCATTTTTATAACCGTTTTGGTCAAATTTGGTCAGGAAAAAATTTTTTTCAGCTAGTGTTATTATTTGCATTAGGCTATTATTTGCATTAGTGCAATTGACCTATGGCTAACCCACGCCCTCAAAAGCGATGAGCCAATCACAGTGCGCAGCTAACCTCAATACACTCGGACATTTTCTGCTTCCACTTCCATTGAAATGCATTGGAGTAAGTCAGTTTTCATTCGTTTTTTCTTGTTATTTTAAGTTTAAAATGGTCAAACGGTGTGCATGGGGTACATGCAACTCTGACACCAGGTTCCTGAGAGGCTGGGCGACGGTGTGTATTTTTTTACCCTTTCCCAAGCCACATCTCAACCGAGATAAGTGTCTGCTCTGGATAAAGTTATGGGGTAGCTAGACCACAACACCAACTAAACGCGGATAAATTAAACAAGGATGTCTACATCTGATCTAAGTTAAGTCAGCAACGTATTTGAACGTTATCTTTAAAATCTCTAACGTAACGTTAGTCAAACGTTAGATGTACATTAGAAAACATTAACGTTAGCTTCTAGCTGCGTTGTACATCATGTCAATTAGCTTCATTAACATATATCTGTTTTTAACCGAGATAACAAATGTTGTGCTGAATGTTTCATGTAAATACTGTAGCACCAAACGGTGATGGCAACGATATGCGGGTTATCATGTTTACACTGTGACCTGTACATCTCTGCCTGGAGCTGAAGCTTTTCATCGACCTTCTCAACAATAAAATTATTAATATAACCCTCCAATGCATAGTTAATGCCCTTTAAGTGACTTCAAGATGATTTATAATTTTTCTGTCTCCAAAAATCGGCAATTGCCTCCTGTGAAATGTCTCCTACTGTGACAGCTGCCATAGCGCCCGTGCCATCTTTGTCCGAGTGAGTGGAGGGGGCGTGGCTTAGCCATAGGTCAATTGATAAAATCGTTGTCACCGTGAGCAAATGAATTGCATTCCCGCTTAAAACGAGCGTTCGTAAATATCCCAGCTATTTTATTCCATGCCTCATTCTTTTGTAACTGGTCCCTGTAAGCAAACAACGTCATATCATATATGATAGGAAACCCTGCAACAGCTATTATCAGCTTCTCCTCCATTTTCTCGGAACTAATGTTTTGGTAGGAACGAAAGTTCACATCGGATGTTTCTCCAGAATCAGCCAGAGTGAAGGACGTCTTTATCCTGATTGGTTGCTGACGTTTTGCCGCTGCTTGCCGCTGAACCACGTTATAGCTCATTACCATAAAGTTGAGCTTCTTTCAACTTTCTGATTGACGCTCAAAACGCCCAAAATGCGACGCTGAGGAATTTGATGCTCCTTGCAGCGGAGAGAAGCCAGCTTCCATTGAAAATGAATGACTTCCGGCCACTTTGGAAGCTCAAGTCGGCGTCGGTGTGAACGTACAGTTGGTGGAACCAAAGCTGTGAGAATAAACACGAAACGCACGTGAGCGTTCTGCTGTGAATCCGGCGAATCGTTGAACAGCTGTGTCGTCATCAGAGCTTGTGCAGCCACACTTGAGAAGCTGCGCTAGCTGAGTCCTCCGGCTGCTCTCAAATCGCTCTTGCGGTACCTTGATAGCAATCGTCACAGGCTTGTCATTGCCATGTGATATTATCCCTGCGTCCCAATTCGCTTACTTATACTACGCCCTAAAATTATGTACTCTTTTTGTGAAGAAAAAGTACATACTTTTGAGTGTGTAGCAAAAAAGTAGGCAAGCTTTGGGACATACTATCACATCATCTTTAACGGACGGCTCTGTCGCGTGCTGCGTGCATCCTGTCACCATAAACTGCCCTGTCAATCATCTCGTCACAGTTAAAATCCTCCATTCAATCCAATTTGATTTCCTACCGTATCGGAGCACGTTAATCTGCCAGTGTATACTTTCCTCGTGTTTTGCAATTTGAATGTAATGATGCATTTAAAAAGTAATGGCTAAACGCATCCTTACAAAAGTTCACAATGCTGCTGCAGATGCAATATAATGTGGAGAACATTGAATAAATAAATTTTCCTCAGGTCAGATAGTGTTAATTAATCACTCAAACCTCTTTATCTAAACCTCTCAACATAACCGCGGGACTCACGCGTCCTCTGTGTCTGTAGTTTTTTAACACTTTTTACTCGTGTTTGTAGTTCTAACCGAATCCTCGTTTAACGCGCAAAGGGTTGTGGGCAATATCAGCCGTTAGAGTGTGCATCGATCTACACTTCGGATTCTGACCGGAAAAAGTAGACCATCCGGGTATCTTTGAAACACTCATTTCAACATACTACGGTTTGGGACGCACTAATTCTATTTTCGAATACTATTTAGGACGGATAGTATGCGAATTGGGACGCAGCAATTGAGAGAGTTCTGACACTGCCATAGACCGCCATTGTAACTCAGGAATGCGGAAGTAACGCGTGTCGTGGACCCGCCCATTAGTTCCAACCACTGATAGTTCCAGCATTGAACCCCATGCATTTTCGGTGCTTCCGATGTCCTCTCGCTGGTAATTTAATGAAATTACTGTTTTTTTTTACTTTTACACACATTAGCCAACCTCTCGTGAATCTAGTCTGTAGTTATATGTTATGTAGCCAGGTCTAGTAAATGTTTATTGGAAGATAAAAGGTTAATTGCAGCGATAGCTTACGTGACCAACACTTCACTAACGTTGTTAGCTAACTTATGGTAACCTGATGTATATAATATTTTTTAGAACATCATATAAATATATAGCATATTATTATATTATTTAAAAAATATATAAAATATTATATATATATATATATACTTTGTAGATGGGGGGGTTAGGGTTAGTTATTATATGTGATTGAAACGTGTAGGCCAATACACAGTACATCGTATAAATGTATTTGTGTGTGTTTTCTGATAAATGGTTTAGTCAATGATTAGGGTAGGATGAAGGGGTACATTAGCCATACTGAATTGAATCCCAACAGTTATGGATCATATTTAGGAACAAATAATTCACTCATTAACTCATCATCATCATCTTTATTCAGGACATACATATAAAATGGTCCACAGCACTATACAAAATAAAGTACATTCAAAATAGAAGAAGAAATAAACAACAACAAAAAAAAATGTAAAAAATGACTACACAGTCAAAATTACTATAATACAATCTATAACACAATACTATAACACAATCTCTATAATAAGAAAAATAACTATCTCTCCGGTTTCATTTTATGAAGTTAAAATTTACCGAACATTACTGTAAATATGCTCATTGCTACGTTATGGGAGCAGTCTATTTCCCCCCTATCATTCATTTGTACATGCACAGCGTAATTATTTATATTTTATGTTGGTTGTCATGTTTGTAATCCTGAATGGGCCACCACGGCAGACCAGCCTTGCGTGATCACGGTAGGCTAATGGCTGAATCGGAATTTATAAGCAAGATCACGGGAATCAATAACCTAACCTAACCTAAACCTAAAAAAAACGTATCTAAGTTGACACCCTGCCTCTCAAAATGCAACACTGACATTAACCAAATGCAATAAAAGCTTAAAAAGTACTTTTTAAGTAAAAAGTGTGTGTTTTATTTTATATTTACCGTTTAATAATGCAATCGCCCGCGTCTTTTTTGGAACTATTGGGGCTTCCATGAACCACGTGACAGCCTTGCGGCGACATCAAAGCGTGTCGCAACTCTCTCAATACATGGCTCTGATGTGACCTACCAGCGTCAGTTGTGTCACTTCACTGGCATTCTCAAATCCTCACCCATGGCCTCATGGGATTGTCAAAAGTATTGATTGGATGCACAATTTTTATTTTATGAATACTGTAAATTCTAATATACTAAATTCACACACTATTTTTCGCCTACTATGAAGTAGAAAAGTATATGATTTCCGTTGCAGCCTTAGAATACAGCACACCATTTGTATGGACTAGTTTTATGGTACATTTATGCTGCCTATTGTCCTTTTTAGGAGCTTAACACCTATTTGTCACTTTTTCATTGTATGGAAAAGAGCAGCATTAAAAGTCTGCATAACATCTTTTGTGGTTTGCAGAAGAAAAAGTTATGGATTTGCATGAGGGTCAGTAAATGATTTCCAAATGTTTAATTTTTGGCTGAACTATCCCATTAATCCAATACATTAGGCTCTCATAGCTATGAATCAGTCCAATGTGACCTCATGGTACAGGCTACTTTGCTGTATTCAGCATTTACACTTCTTTCATCAGACTTTTGGTATAACTTTTTTTCCCTATCAGGAAATGTCTTTACAGCTCAAATGAATCTACCACAATCTCTCTACACTCACAGGTGGTAGAATGATGTGAGTCATCAGTATAGGTGTCCTCAATCTGTGTCTCTCTTTCTGCTTATTTGATTCCAGAATCGCTCTGCACAGCTATGTTATTCAGTTACAACTTGAATTATTTCTCTTGATGAGCACAGAAAATGTTAAACTGTAAGACCTTAATGGTTAAATGACTTTGCAGAAAGTGTGACATATTGTATGTAGGCCTATTGTCAAATTTAGACACATTCAGACTGTTAAATTGCGCTCAAAGATACAAGTAACTGTTTAGTTATTTACATGCCCAACACTATGGCTGCATGTGTTTATTTATTAATTAATTATTGTTTTAAATAAAACTGAATTTTCAGAAACCATTACTTCAGTGCTGTCCTCAGTCCCACATAATCCTTCAGAAATTATTGTAATATTTTTATTTTTTACCAATCATTACCAATTATTGGTGCTCAGTTATTAACAATGCTTCTTATTGTTAGCTATGTTAAAAACTGTTTTGCTTTCCACAAAATTTTTAATTTAATTATAAAATTTTGTTTTCAACATTAGTAAGAAATGTTTCTTTAGCACCAAATCAGCACATTACAATAATTTTTTTAAGGAGCATATGACACTGACTGTAGTAATGGCTGCTGAAAATTTTACAATAATCTACAGACCTTGTGCTCTATGAGCCAAAATGAAGGACATTTAATAATAGTTGGAGTCTCCAAGGTAACTTGTAAGTGTTTGCAGCTCCAAATAGTTCTTAATGATGAGATAATTACCACATTTATAAAAAGAAAATCTGAGAAAAGATGCAGATGCTGCTTTGGATTAGCATATTTGTGCAGCATTTATTCCCCACATTGTCGAAGAAGCACATAATGTAGCACTTTTTTTTTGCTAGAAATCTATATAAATTCTGTTGAGTATTTTCTCAAGGAAATCTTGATGTGTATATTGGTGGATACAGGGATGTTGTCTTTTTACAATATCTGGGAGTAAAAAAAGTAAATCAATTTAAAAGTATGTAGAGCTTTATACAATACAGATTGTTTCAAAACATCTTCACAGTAATAAACAAGAAAATAACAGTGCTAATGTTGAAAAATGCATCAATTATAAAACAAATTAAATTACAGCTGTAAAGCAGCTCTATAAAAGACAACAGTGTCATTAGCTCAATAGCTAATTTAACTTTTATTAGTTCAATAAAAAAGCAACTGTACAGGTATTTAAGAGAACATATGTGAACATATGATATAACAACAGTTCATTACCTTCAAATGACAATCCCTTAGCATGAGAACCACTGTTTTGTTTTGTTTTTCCAGAGGATGGCCCTATATGTAAGAAAGCCCGAGTAGATGAAGATGATGATGATAAAGGTGATGGTGACTACCACAGGAGTGATACTCAGATAGCCATCTGTCTGGACTGCTTGCGTAACAATGGGCAGATAGGAGAGAACATTGTTAAGGTTAGCAATCTTGAATTTTGCAATATAACTACTATCCTCCCCCTGTCACCATTTCTCGATGTCACTCTATGTCTTGTGCTTCCTTTTATCTTCTATTTGCATTGGTCTTGCCCCCTCATCCCTTATAAGGGAAAGGTGAACCGAACAGATTTTCCCCACAAGATCCTTGTGTTTGAGATTTTAAGATTAAAGATCAGACTGATCCTCAGTCTTTACTAAAGCCTGGTATCAATGAGTGTGATTCCAAGGCTCAGTCCTTTCTATCACCTTCTAATTTACCATTATCTTCCTGATCTTGCTGATAGCTCTTTCTTTCTTTCTTTCTTTCTTTCTTTCTTTCTTTCTTTCTTTCTTTCTTTCTTTCTTTCTTTCTTTCTTTCTTTCTTTCTTTCTTTCTTTCTCTCTTTACACACACACACACACACACACACACACATATATATATATATATATATATATATATATATCTCAGTCTTTATACATATGAAGAGTTCAGATGCAAAAGCCTCTAAGTGCCATTTGAAATTTTCTTCTAGAATGATCATTTTTATCAAGCTTGTATTTTTAAGTTCAGTGATTTCACTTAAATGGCAATGAAGATTACCTATAAATTGTCATTTACTGTAAGTGAAATTACTGTAAAGACTCTGGGTCGGTTCTGATCAGGGGGGGATTTGCATATCATAATTAATAATTGATAATTAATAATTATTCATACAGATTTGGATCAGACCGGTCTTACATGTTAATTTATTAATTTTACCCATATGCATACATGTGCATCCCCGCAATCCACCACAAATTAATTGTTATTGATTGCAAGGACCACGTTTTACAAGACAGGTAAAATCAATTAGCTCAATTAAGTTATATAGCTTGTGAAAACAAATTCTGTGGCCACTAGAATCTGCCTTCCCTGCTATATAACCAAATACCCTCTTAGGTATTTTATAGTTCTGTAAAGCGTGTAGCTTTAAATTGACATTTCATTGACCCGTATCATGAGCAAGACAATCAGTCAAGGTAAGCATATTTTGCATTTAATAAAGTTACTACTTAAGCATTCACTACGTTACAATGATACATGTATTTACAAACATTAAAACACAAACTAAGACGACGCAGAGCGTTTAGACAATGGATACGCGCAAGTTAAGTGAGTTTGAGAGAGAGAGTGAGAGAGAGAGTGAGTTGTGAGAGAGAGAGAGAGTTACGTTCATCAAAACAGTCAGTTAACCTTTCTGGACACCCCAAAAACATCTTCTTAATGCTTCTTAGAAGCTCTAAAAGAAGGTATACTTGCAAGGCACATGTGGTCTGTGTGAGTCGTGGGCTCGTTGCTCGACCCGTTCGGGCCACGTGTCGGCTAGAGGTGCGCCGGTCCGGCGCGCGTGCGTCACGTGAAGCGCGGCCGCGGCATGTTTGCGCGGCCCGTCCCGGCTCGTTCATGGCTGCTTTGTTCCGTGGGGAGTCACGTGGCGTGCGTCGGCATTTAGCGCCAGTGTTTGAAAGGCTGAGAGTTTTTGAGGTGACGTTACCCGAGGAGATAGTTCGGCAAAGTCCACTTCCTTTCCTGGCAGACAAACTTGGTAGTCCACTTGAGGAAAAGATGAAACTTTTAGACGAACAAAAGGAAAGATCCATCGTTGGATCAGAGTCCCGTGAGGTTTACATGTTGAGCGCTGGAAAGTTAAGAAGAGAGAGGGCGGACCTGCGTTCTCACATTTATCACCTTGGAGAAATCCATCCCCTTCCTGTTGGCTTGAGCCAATCGGAGAGTGGATGTTGCACGCGGGAAGCTTTCTTTTGTTCCTCAGCGCGTGCTTCTCGTGGAAGGGGGTGTGTTAAATGAGGGTTTTGCAATAGCAATTTGATCTTCATTGGCAGTACAACGAATTAAAAATACACTTTACTTTACATCTCTATGCATATTCGAGTGTTTCATTCAATAAGCATTCTAGAGATATCAAGGAACATTATGTTATATCAAAGGAATATACACTTATGTTTCGAATGCATGGCGAAGGTATTTTTAATTCCTATTTAAACTGTGACCAAACAAAGTTATTTTACTGTGACATGGGGAAGACACATATACATAAAAACCATTGAAAACATTTTGTTGAATGTTTTTAAACACCAAAAGTCCTTCTCTTTGTTCAAAAACAATCCACACATTCCGATGTGTGGGGGAAGTGAAAGGTTTGTGTGTGCGTGTATGTGTTTCAAAACGTCGCCTGGCCAAGATTCATTACATCTCCCCCTTTTCGTTAGGTGAAGTCCTTGTGTGACTTCATCGAACGACACCATCGCAATGGACGGATGGCAGGTGAATCATGAGGGTCAGGTGGCAGGCGGCGGCTAGGCTGAGGTGGGGACTCAGCTTGCTGAGGTTTGACGCAGTCTCCAGCGTGGTACCCTCTTCCCGAGGGTCCCGTGGTGGCTGTGGAGGTTTGCATTTCCTTGCCTCTTGTGCAGCGTGAATGTCAAGTGTCAGGGTGTGGTTGATTACCGTAGAGGTACCCAGTGCAGAATCAGCTGCAGTCCAGGATTGGACTACCGGTGAGGCAGTTGTGCAGTGCAACAGGTGTGCAGTTGAGACACAGCGGTCACTGGGAACAAGTCCAGTTTGGCTGGACCCCTCCTATCATCGTTCATAATTCCAGTTCTGGAATCAGGGTGAAATCGTGGGTTTCGTCCTGGCTGGGACTTGACTCAGGCTCGGTTGCAGCAGGGTAGCTCGGGTCTTGGAGCCAAGGCTGCTTGGCGAATTTTAGCAAAGTCATTCTGGCAGACAGTGAACAGTTGTCTCGCTGGAGCTCACTTGTCTGGTTCAGTAGAATGCTGTGTGCGTTTCGGATTTATCACAGTTCCTTTCAATTTCTTGATGGTCTGTGAGGAGGCACTCTGTGTTGTGAGTTACCTTTTGGCTGTGGAATTTCAGTTCGTTTGGTTGCTGGACAGGCCGGTGTTTGACTGCGTACTGACAGCAGCGGCGTGGGAGTCCATTTAGCTCTGCTTGCGTGGCAGTCGACCATATGCTGTCTGATGTCGCCCCGGCGGTGAGGCGGTCGACAGTAGCTGTCCTCTGGTTGGCTGGAGGCACAGGAAGACGACCACAGCAGCATCCTGTAACAGAGACAGGGGAGAGAGAGAGAAAGGGAGGAAAGAAATTCAGCGGCTGTCGGCTGGGACAGTCTGATGCCTTGAGGATGCCGAGATGTCCTGGTGCTGCGGTGTGCAGCCCACATGGTGCGTGACTGGGCATACACTGGCATATCCCCCTTTCTGCACCGTGGCAGCACAAGCCGTGGCGAAGTGATGTCACGAGGTGCATGAAACTGAGTTGTAGGGCCGTTGAGCAGCATGTTCTTGGTGTGCTGCCTGATGTGTCCGACGGCAGGCTTGGGAGGTTGGAGGGGTAAAGAGGTGGTAGTTTCAGAGTTCATTTGGTTAGTCAAAGTCTTTAGTGAGCTGAAAGGTGCAGAGTAGCAAGTTCACCTCTCCATTTGGTGCTGAGGCTGTGCCTTCATGGCTGGCTGCGGGAGTTCTTGTGACCTCTGTGACCTGCCAGTTAGGTTCTCTTGACCTGTATGACTGGAGGGGGAGGGGTTCTTGAACTTGAGCTCAGGCATTCAGTTGATTAAAGTCTATTAAAGGCTCAAAGCGATCTAACAGATCTTGGGCAATCAGAAGTGGGTACGTGATCGTTCTTGATCGTTACCCTGGGTGAATCAGGCTCATAGGACCTAATGGATGAATGGGAGCTACCTGTTTTGAGCCAGAAGTTGTTTTGGCTGTAGGGTTTTCATTCAGCTCACATGTTTGGGCTTTGAGAGTGCGTTCTTGACTCTTAGCTTTAGCAGTGAGTCTTTCGAAGAGTTGGGCTGACATTAGCGTGATGTTTGAGCTAGTGTCTGACAGGCCTTCAAGGCTCAAATGATTGTCTCTGGTGGTGGTTATGTAGAGTCTTTTGGGCCACCCCTTTTGTTTAGGGTTCCCAGAAGTTTAGGCATCTGGGCTGGTGTGTTGTGATCGATGAGCGGTTAGGGCCGGTGTTTTGTTGGGACACCGGACTGTCATGCTCAGGTTGTGCAGCTGTCAGTTGTAGCGGCTGCTTGGTGTTGTCGCTTGTGATGCGACCGTGAGCTCTGTGGTCTGATGCTGAAAGCAGTGTTCTGGGTGTCTGGCTTGGGTCTTGCGCTGAGACATAGGATGTCTGACTTGTCTCCTTGTGATGCTCGTGCAGAAACGCTTTCAGCACCTTCAGGATTTCTGCCGTCTGTGACGTGGTTGCACTGTTGTTATCTGATGTGTGCTCAGACTTGTGCTTACCAGTGGCGTGTTGAGAGGGTACCGCTCTGGGCTGGTTGGGCTTGAGTCTCTTGGTGCTGGGCGGTCCATTCTGGGTCGCCGGCTGGCTTCCAGAAATGTTCAGAGCTTTTGCTCTGGGGCGTTAGATGAGCACCATGACTGTTGTGTTGCCCTCTGCTGGCCTGGAACGGTTTTAACTCTCAGTGAAGGTGTTTGTGATGTATGGGGTGCCTTCTAGGGGCAGCTCTGAGTCGTGCCCAGAGACAGGTTAGTCTGAGGGTTTTTACACAGTCTTTTCGGACAAAGTCTTTGCTTAAT